AAAATGATTTAGATTAGACTATTATAGTCTCAGGTACGATGAGCATTTTGCATTTGTGTCGTCATTTGAGTGACGAATGATTCACACTTGCGTCATCAGAGATATATTAGTATTCGTTTCATTATTCGAGTGATGAACGATTCACGCTTGCATTGTCATTCAAGTGACGAACGATTCACGCTTGCATTGTTATTCGAGTGACAAATGATTCGCACTTGCGTCATTAGAGATATATTAGTATTCGCTCTATCATTTGAGTAATGAGCATTTTGTATTTGCGTCATCATTTTCGAGTGATGATAAATTTATGTTTGTATCATCATTTGCTGGCCTAATGTTACCTATCTATTGCTATCAGGAATGCTATCTAATTGCTATCAGGTATACTATATACATGCTATGAGGCAGAGCTTCGAATCTTCAATTCATCAAATATATATCACGTAATTGCTATCGAGTATGCTATATACATGTTAGCGGGTTTGCTATCTGTCATCGAAAAATTTTTGGTGACAGGTTCGGTGACAACTTTGGTGACAGATTTATTATTAAATTTTGCCTTTTAATTCTTTTTTATCTTGTTCTTATATACTGTCACCAATATCACTAAAAATAAAGTAAAATTCTAGGAAAAAAATAAAACTTTTTCTTATGGTACACTTATAGTATATGATATATATGATATGTATGATATATATGATATATATATATATATATATTTGATATACCCATAATATAAAAAAAGAAAAAAAAAGCTAGAGAAGTTCGATTTTTTTGGTGACTTTGGTGACTTTGGTGACAGATATCTAGAAAGCTTTCTAAAAGTACAAAAACGTAAAATTCAATAAAAATTCTGTTACTAAAAATTTTTCTCGGCGTTACCAAAAAATTTTTTGGTAATAGCTATACGTATTAAGATAATGCATGTATATTCACTAAGTATTTTCTTTCATCTCAGCACTATCTTGTGCTATCTTCTCCAGCTTCTTCTGCTGATAGTAGACTTTAACATGATATTTATCTGCATGCAAATTACATAAGCTATACTCAGACATAGTTGGTTAACCGCATTCTAAGCAGAGAACACATTAGCGCCTTTTCCAGTGAATAGCACATCCTTCTTGATGATAGCAAGGCTATCCACAAACTTTTTCTTCATTTGAAAGATATTGACAAAGATAAATACCCGTCATTACTGATTATTTTTTTGAAACTCGTTAGTAATACTATCTTAAATAAAACTAATTAATTAATATTTTCAAATTAAACTTTTTTCTTAGGTTAATGTATCAAAATTGTAAAATATCCTTAGCTACTATGACTACCCAAAGTGAATACAATACATCTACTGTGCCAGCATATACTGTTCCTACTTCTGAAATTATTATTCCCATATCTGAGTCTAATGCGCTGATCCAAACTCATGAAAATTTGGAGCAATATTCTAATGTGCTGGAAAAAAATGCTGAGAAAGAACTAGAGCCAGAAAATTTTGAGAATTTCGAGCTAGAGATAGAAGAAGAAAATAACAGGGCCTTCTACTACCGGGGCCAAAGCTGAGAGTGAAGCTGAATATATGTATAAAATTCGTGATAATAGTATAAAACCAAGACAATTTCTTGGTACAGATTCTGAAGATGGAATAGAAGCTATATTTACAGAGCGTCAGAAATATTCACTACACAAAATTATTAATGGAAATGATCCACTTCGTTCCTTTATTGATTTTGATTTATCTCAAGAAACACTAAATAAAATCGAACCAAAACTTACATGTAAAGAAGCTTATTATGTTTTAATTGGGGCTTTCAGAGAGCTATATATTGAGATTTATCCAGATTGGGATATTAAAACCTTAACTGTTGCCAATAGTAGCGATCAGAAAAAAATGTCATACCATATATCAACTTTCGGACTTCGGCTCAAAAATATCGCCAAAGTCGCAGTGTTTACTGAGCTTGTCCGTAAAAAACTTCCAATAGGTTTACAAGCCAATGGAATTGTTGATAATATTGCAAATAAAAGTTCATTCTCCTTACGAATGCTTGGAACACCAAAGATTATTAAAGAAACCAATAAGCATGTTTATCCAAAGAGAGCAATTATACCTAAAAATGGTACTATTTTTGACTTTATGCTTCATTTTCCCCATGATGATGCAGAAATAAAAAATAGTCTTATCTTGGAAACACTGAAAGAAAAAATATTAATCGAAGATAGGTCAACGTCAGAAAAAAATAAAAATAATACTGGGACTATTGAATCTGAAATAGAATACATAGAAAAATTGCTTGAAGAGTATAAAATTGAAGGGTTTGAACTTTTATACCCATCATCTACACTTCCAAATGTATTCTCTCTAAATCACAAAGTAAAATCTTAATGCCTACTCTGTAATCGGGAACACACTAGTGATAATGCATATATAATCCGAAATAAGAAAATTTATCGATATTATTGTTATTGAGCAGATCAAGAGACGCTATCAGGTACAAGGAAACTATTATTAAAACTTGTTTTCAATGAAACAATTGAAAATAAAGAAAAAAAATGTCTCCTTCCAGAAAAATTAGAACGGTCTAAAATTTCAGATCCAAATGATTACTTTACATGGGGAGACTTAATTGATATGTGTACCTCTAAGAATATTTTTACCTGTAATGAAGTATATGAGGCAATTCAAGCAACAGTTGCATGTATTCAAACATCTTCAAGATTATGGCTACTTAAAATAGCAGACTCAGATAATAGACTTTTCTTCGATATGGCACCTAAACTAGATATTGCTAAGTACAAAATAAAAATAACTGAATATCAAGGGGAACCAATCAAATTAAAAATATTAATAAATCAAGCAGTTGTTGAAGGTCTAATTCTTTATTGTAATATCAATTTTCTGCTATATTTACCAAATACCTCACCACCAAATATCAAGTTCTTTAATCTTTTTCTAGAATTCAAAGCTCAGCCAGCAAGAGAGATTAATCCTGCCATTATGAATCCAATTTTATGGCATGTAAAAAATATAATCTCTGGTGGTGATGAAGAACTTAGTAAATATTTCTGGCATTGGGTAGGATATCTAGTACGACAACTATCTAAGAAGCCTGGAACCATTCCAGTATTACGTTCCTTACCAGGCTGTGGAAAAAATATCTTAATCGATTTCATAGGTAACCAAATTTTGGGTTCTGAACTTTTCTATACAACTTCTGATCTTGGGAAAATATTAGGAAGGTTTAATAGTTGTATTCAGGCTTGCAAATTAATCGTTATAAATGAAACAGAAATGAGTAGTGGAGACTGGCACAAATATAATAATCATTTCAAATCGCTTATTACAGAAGATTACTTAACAATTGAGCACAAAGGACTCGAACCCAAAGTTTTAAAAGATTATGCTGGATTTATGGTATTAAGTAATCATGATGCTCTACTCCGAGTAGAAATGAGTGATCGGTGTATCATATGTTTCGATGTATCTCTCTGTTGTAAAGGCAATATAGCATATTTTAAAAATTTAGCCAAAGTGTTAGAACACCCGATGTGCTTAGTATAGTTATGGCTTATCTTCTCAGTCTTGATATCTCAGATTGGAATCTACTATTACTAAAATGAAAACAGATACAATGATAGAATACCTAGTAAATCCAATTCAATTCATAATTGATCATATTTCATCTTGGCCTGAAAATAGGACTGAAAAACCAATATGTTCAAATTTATACTAGGATTATTGTATTTGGTGTGAAAGAAATAGTAAAAATTCATTCACTAGTAAAAAATTTGGAAAAACTTCTCCAACGATTGGTATAGAACGCAAGCAAGTACAGGTTAATGGAAAAAGAGAATGGGTCTACATCCTTGACCGATTCAAGATCGTAGCTAAATTACATGAGTTAATAGATAATATCGAAAAATTTTCAGACGTACCTTATATCAGAATATCCACCAGCATATCCACAGAGATCCCTGTATTTGACGTACCTAAAATTGTTATATCTCCCAAACCAGAAAAAATAGATCTCATTCTATTAACCACCAATCATATTAAAAAAGATAAGAATACATTGTCTACTCTACCTGTTACTAATATGACCCAGGATCTCTTCGATTCTATAATAGATCAACCAGAATCTCCAGTTGCATCATTATCTAAGTCTACAGATATATCTCTGCCTTCTGAGATCAAACACGTAGAATCTTTGGATGATAAATCTAAATCACCAGAAATTATCGAATCAGTGAATGATAAGCCAGAGATTTCTCCTGGCTTATCTGCAAATGACGAACTAAAATCTAGCAATGAAGAAGTCAACACCTAATCAGAAATATACCCACCTAAATATATATCCTGAGCAGAAAGAGAAAAACATCTTAGGCAATGGGTGGTCGATCATAGTGAAGATTCAGATAAGTTCATTACTATTATTGAAAAAGATAGGGATTTAGCATATACATACCATAATAGATTATGTTTGGATACAGACATGATCCAATTCGCAAAAGATACCAATGACGACCCAAATATATTAATAAATATATCTAGATGAGAACAATCAATAAGTGAGAAAATTATACTCCGATTGTATGAAGACGATAGCAACCCCCGAGCAAGAAGCTATGATGATGAGGAATGGGTAGAAAAAATAATGATACTCCAAGAAAATGGATATCTATGGTAAGATTATTGCTTTGCAGGCCCGTAAGGGCGCTTTGAGACATGGGATAAGCTCTGCCTCTACTATATACTAAATGCAAAGCATCCTACTTTGTGAGAGAAGTGAATAGGTGAATTTCGCAGGTAGGAGAGGGATGTTGCTCCTACCTATAGGCAATATAAAAATTTCAAATTAAAATATAATGAGAATTCTGTTCTTTATACCAATATACTGGTTTTTGTAACGCCTAAAAACGATATTTGGTAAAATTTTAAGTAATATATTATCCCAACTTTAATTTTAAATATGAAAGTGTATATAGAATAATAGTACAGCTGAATGTCTTGTAATTGGTTATTAGTTGAAGACGCCAATTTATATAAAAACCTAGCAAAAGGGCAATATTGCGCTTCCTATACATTCAAAATTCGAAATGGTGTAATAATTCTAGAACCGTGTAAAAGATGTGATCGAGAGACTAAATCGAGCGTCCAGCTTTGTGTCCCATGCAGACAAGGTAAGGAAAGAGCATACAGATATTATAAACAGAAATGTGAAGAAAAAACCTGCCTTCTCGGTCTATAACCTCGAAGCCAGAAAATAATTGTCTATCTATTTTTGTAGATATATAGTTACTGTATAACTGTCTTTAACAAACTGACTATGAACGTAGTGAATTGTCGGGGATAAGTAATATCATTTATTTTTCATATATAATCTGAGTCCTTTAAAAATAATCAATTAAACTTATCATTTTCATAAGTAACAATCAACTATTATCATTTTCATAAGTAGTAGCACATATATCATGTATATCTAAGAGCCGGAATATAACAAAGAAATGATTGCCTTAGATGAGTTATTCAAATTGGCTAAGTGTTTGAGGAAGCCAAAAATCTATAACCCAAAAACTAATCGTATGATTGCAATCAATGAGCCTGTATATAATAGACTATTACACGATAATTATATATATTGGAGAGAAGAAAGTCTTTTGATTTTGCTATTCAATGAAATACCAATACTAAGAAAATGTCTATCTTTTGTATCCAATAAGATTTGGGATATTGTTGCAGAAAAAGTTTTCTTACAAAAATCAATGAGAAACTGAGCTTGTTAGAAATTTTGCTTAAAGCCAACTGGAATGAATTCGTTATATGCAATTTGCTAAAATTTTGCCGGAATCATAGAGAAACTCAGGAATAAAAAAATGATATACTTGCAAGATTCCTTCATTATCCAAATTTAACTCCATCAAAGCATAAACCGAATGCCTTATATGATGCATTCACCAAGGCAGACATTCTAGAGCCAGAGCATATAATAATTCTAGCTCGAGCAATATACTAAAAAATAAAACACAATATACAATTAATATAGCCTGGGATCCTATCCCCAAAGCTATAAAATTTTTTCGTTATATTCTATATATTAGTAAATTTCAAATCAATATACTACTTACCCTATAGGTATATATAAACTCTTTTTTTCTAGATATGGGAGAAAAAAGCATAATTAATTTTGATTTAAAAAAGAATCCCCATAGTATATATCAGACGAAAATAGTCTACATAAACTATCTCAATTAACATATGTGTCAAAGACAGTAGCTTTGCTATAATAACCATAGCAAAAATTGCTACATTATTTGTAAATCACTACAAATTGACTCTCAAACTAGTTTACCCCAGCTTAGTAGTTATGCCGAAGAGTTGGCTAATAATCTTTCAGATAGTAAACCAAAAGAGTAGGCCTGAAAAGCCAGAGATCAGGCCAAAAAATGCTTCTAAGAGTTGGGATTGAGTAAAGAACAAGCTAATACTCTTATTCCTATTCGAGCTTCTGGAAAACATATTTATAAAAGAGATCCCATTAAAATTATTGCCCAAGATATTATAAAAAATAATCTCTCATCTGAAGAAATAAATAGAATAGCATATGACTTGGCTTCTTCTGCTCCTACTACTGTTGCAGGAAATTCTCGTCTTAATTTATTATAGAAAGAGTTGTGTAGCTTAGAAGCTAATTATCTTATTACTGAGGCAACAAAAATATCTTTTATTACTAAAAAAGCAAATCAGATTCAAGCAAGAAAGTATATACTTTGTAGAATTAATAGTTACGATTGTCCTGAGTTCTTTTACCTGGAAAAAGTTTAGGAAAGACTTAACAAATATAATATTACCAAGCCTCCTTCAATGCAAAATCTAATAGACATAATGATAATGCTATATATGCGATCGGCAGATATGGAAAATCTTCGTATCAACTGATACAAACCAAGTCGCGAGTCATGGTATAATCCTGACCATTCTTGGTACTGTATTGGTTATACAAAAAATAAAGGTGAGGTAGAAGAACCTTGACCATTCCTTTCAATAGAAAAAAATCCAATACGGGCAAGAGAATTACTTATCTGGATTCAGAGATCAATACCGGATAAATTTCCCTTCTTGTTAAAAAATAAGAATGGGAATACTAATATTGCACCTCTTAATCAATTCTTAAGTCACCATAGAATTACTTTATATATGTTAAGAAAAATAGGTGCTGATCATGCTTTCAGAGTACATAGAGGTAAGAATGATACTGGCCATCAATATTTACGACAATTGGCATGTAGTCAAACATTATAGTATAATGAATGACAGACCAATTGCTCCAATGACTAGAGAAAAAAAATACTAAGATATCAGATATTATAGATCTATACAATTACTAATCATGCTTCTTTGCTTCGAAAACTTGTGTATGTATTTCATTCTCGTTGATGCTAGAATATCTGGAAATGCATATCGTGGATTACAAATAATTTTATTTAGCAGTGGAGAATAGGTAATTATTTACCGAGTTATTTTTTTGGTTATAATATATATCATTAAATAATATTGCAGGAAGCACATTATTCTGGCTATAGAATAGAGCAAGTAATCAGGTATTTGGTAGCCTCCAGCTAATTTCAAACAAAGAATTTTTATTTGCTGTGATGTATATATATCTGTGATAATTTT